TTTTATCATTTTTTCACACAAATAGAGCTTTCTTTGGTGGTATTTAACCACCGCTCACTCTTTTATTTTTTGCACAATAAAAAGACCAAACATTCTGAAAAAAAAAATGTTTTTCTTTTTTCTATTATAATAATTATAATAATAATTTTGCAAACAGGTAATTTGTCTCCTTGACTGATGTGCGTTAATGAGGCTGCACTGATAGACAGCACTGATGGGATATAGGTTGCACTGATGGGTACTAATAGGCAGTACTGAAGGGCACTGATTGGGGGCACTGATAGGCAGCACTGACAGGCACAGATTAGCAGCACTGTTGGGCACTGATGGGTACTTTTGGGGCTGCACTGATAATCCACCTTTTACTGTGTCATGCAATCAGCTGTGTCCAAAAGACACAGTGATCACAGAGAGTGGCAAGTGTTCGCCTGGGAGTGCACGGGGGGCACGTCATATGATGCCTCCCCAGACCTGGATGACCGCGCTATAGCCGTCATTCGGAAATAGCGTGGTCAACAAGTGGTTAATGCTACTAGCCTCCAACATAATATGGAATCTAGAAGTGCAAACTTTAAAGTATTTTATTAAATGAAAGGACTTTGATCACAATTACAAATCACAATTAAAGTGATACTAAACAGAGAAGTGATAACTGCCATCATTCATTCACATAAATCATATATATCATGCCGCTGTATTTTGTTTTTGTTTTTTAATTCTCTCAGTACCTTATTCCTGCAGCGCTGTTGTGTAGTCATGTGATCTTCCCCGCTCTTTGGCATCTGCAGGGACAGACCCTTGGGAGGGGCTTCTATTACTCTAATGTACTGTATGCTCACTACAGTATGATTCTGTGCCTGTACAGCCCTGACTTAAAAAAAAAAAAAAAAACAGTTTCAGAAAAGCAATTCAAATGAAATGATAAATATCAAAAAACGGTTTTCTAGCTCCCTATAAATCTTTATTGAATATCAAATGGTGTTATTTTTTGTGCATTATTATAGTGTAGGCGGAGTCAAAGATGATTGACACTAGCTTTCATTTTGTTCAGATGGCATCTGCATTCAAGGCTTTTTTTACCTTACAGGTATTAGCAATTATATTTGATATATTTAATACTGATATACATTATATTAAAATTAAGCTTTTTGTGAGTTTCTTTAGGAATGTAATAAATCAGCATACTATATCCCCACCCCCATAGTATTTAGCAAATAAGAGGACATAGAGGAGGAGGGAGGGAATGGGCTGTCATTTACCACTGTGTATATGCCCACATGTGTGACTCTATACTCATGTGGGCTGCACAGATAAGAAACAGGAGGAAATGAAGAGCTTAGAAGGAAACTGAGATTGAGCATGCTCAGTAGAGGACACTAGCTGGTCTACACAATCTCAGCCTGCAATGGGGACACAGAGAAGATGGAAGGGATAGCTGAAGGCAGGATATATTTCAATCTATACAAAATGAATGCTTTAGTGGCTTTGTGAGTGTGCACACTCTGTTATATACCATGTAAACAGAGTTTTTCATAGTCTGGGTTTAATGACACTTTAACGGTCATGGATACACTATTCATCACCAGTTTGTGAGCTGCTGTAGTAGGGACTACAGATAGATTTATATTAGAATATGTATTCTATATTTGTTTTCCACATAAATACATAACTGCATTAAAGCAAAATGCACGCCACATTTTTCACATAGTTATTTGTAAAAAAAATAGTGAAAACCATTTATCCTTTTCCTTCCACTTCACAATTATGTGCCACTTTGTGTTGATCTATTACATAAAATCACAATAAAATACATTTACATTTTTGGTTGTAACATGACAAAATGTGGAACATTTCAAGGGGTATGAATACTTTTTGCCAGTCTGCCTAGCTTCCTCTGTATCCAAGAAACTTTGGAAATTTCTCTATGATAGGTGTGATGTTATGTAGATTCCAGCATGAATACAGACCTGGCCTATCCCAGAGAGACTGGCTCGGAAGGTATGCTGGGTAGCTGTATTTATTCAGTGAGCACACTGAGTTCTGAATCTTTCTGGGATAGGACCATCCAAGCCTGGAAGAGGGCACGTTGCCCTCCCAAGCATCTACTGCCATAGGCCTCAGGTGGGTGACCTGAGGGCATGTATGCTGAGACCCGGGTCCTTCTATGCTGACTGAAGGGGCTGTCTCCTTAATATCTGGTCTGGTATCATGGAGAAAGGCATCCAGCTGTTCTTGGGCCTTGTGAGTACAGACATCCCTAAAGCATCTTAGAGACTATTTGCAGTTAACTCCCTTTAGTGCTGGGAAGACAGCTTTGGGTCTAGCAAAGGGAACACTGGCTGGTGTTTTGAAGAGCTCTGTCAATCTGGCCCACGTTTAAAGAGACATTGCTGTAGGGCGCAAAAGAAGTTACTGCTACTACTTTGTTACTACTGCCTTAAAGCTATAGTTCACTGTTTGATTCAAGCTTGAACTCTGATATAGCTTGCCCTGAAGATTAGACAAAGTCCTCAAGTGTACTTTAGTTCCAAATTTTGGTGTATCCCACTCATTTCCCTCAGCTCTATCCCATTTATTAAAAAAAAAAAAAGCAAGCAAAAATAACACACCTAGACTGGTTATTGGAGATACAAGTGAATGAATCTACAGGGCAAAGTAACTGGGGAGGACCTGGACAGTATTCCTGCCGCTCCTAAGGGAGTAGCACTACATACAATATTACTAACACAGGGCAAAGTTGAAAAATTGTGTTCAAGCATTAACATTTATTTATCCTGAGTCACTAGGAGGTTAATGATAGATGTTTCCTTTATACACTGAAATCCTGAACTGCTTATTTGCACTCTGAATACTACTGCACCCAAATTTATCACCAGGTGTACATGTATTACTTCTGTACCATGCCGCTAATAATAAAAAATAAAAATTGAAGTTTAAGTTGCGTTCTGCATCCTGCATCCTATGCAAATGGCAAACAAGTAGTTTTCAAAAGTTTTATGTCTCCCTATATTCTGCTTCCCCCCTAAGGGGAAGCCTTCAGAGCTAGAGCCTCAAAGATTCCATCTTTACCAAGGCCTGTTTTTTGTTACACTTACCAGGAAGACTTACAACCCAGGTGGATTCCTGCCAGACTATATATACAGAGCCCTCTTTCCCAACATGCTCCACACTGGCAGGGGCCAGAATTGTCCTAGCTCACCCTCCATGGCTACACTCCCCTTGCTACTCTGGAGACCTTTGTCATTCAACTAAGCATCTAAATTGCCTATTCTCACTACGAGATGTCAATACCTAGCAGTCAATTTGGGGGACTAAATGGACCGTTTCTGTGCCCCTACCCTCCATGCTTAATATTTTGAATGGGAGTAAAAAAACATCTGCTATGGCCCTTGCATTATCCAAAATTTGGGTAATACACTTTGTTTACCTCATTTTAAGTTTTCTGCATGTATAGGCTGATAGTTCAAAAAGATACACTAGATTGCCAGATGTTTTAGGACACTCCCATTAATCATTAGACTCAGGTGTTCCAATCACCTCCATGGTCACAGGTGTATAAAATCAAGCACCTAGGCATGCAGACTGCTTCAAAAACATTGGTGAAAGAATGGGTCGCTCTCAGGAGCTTAGTGAATTCAAGCGTGGTTGCCACCTGTGCAATAAGTCCATCCATGACATTTTCTTGCTACTAAATATTCCACAGTCAACTGTTAGTGGTATTGTAACAAAGTGAAAGCAACTGGGAACAACAGCAACTCAGCCACCAAGTGGTAGGCCATGTACAATGACAGAGCTGGGTCAGCACATGCTGAAGCACACAGTGATCAGAAGTCACCAACTGTTTGCAGAGTCAATAGCTAAAGATCTCCAAACCTTATGTGGCCTTCAGATTAGCACAAAAACAGTACGTAGAGAGCTTAATTGAATGCGTTTCCATGACCAAGCAAAAATTGTGACAGCTCGCAGGGAGAAGATCCCCCGCTAACTATCACAATGGGTTTCCATCGCCGAGCAGCTACTGTACATCCAAGCCTTACATCACCAAGTAAAATGCAAAGCATCGGATGCAGTGGTGTAAAGCACGCCACCACTGGACTCTAGAGCAGTGGAGATATGTTCTCTGGAGTGATGAATCATGCTTCTCTGTCTGGTAATCTGATGGACGTGTCTGGGTTTGTCTGTTGCCAGGAGAACGATACTTTCCTGACTGCATTGTGCCAAGTGTAAAGTTTAGTGGAGGGGGGATTATGGTGTGGTGTTGTATTTCAGGGGTTGGGCTTGGCCCCTTAGTTCCAGTGAAGGGAACTCTTCAGGCATCAGCATATCAAGACATTTTGTACAATTTCATGCTCCCAACTTTGTGAGAACAGTTTGGGGATGGCCCCTTTCTGTTCCAACATGACTGCGCACCAGTGCACAAAGCAAAGTCCATAAAGACATGGATGAGCGAGTTTGGGGTGGAGGAACTTTATTGGCCTGCACAGAGTCCTGACCTCAACTGGATAGAACACCTTGGGGATGAATTAGAGTGGAGACTGCGAGCCAGGCCTTCTCGTTCGACATCAGTGTCTGACCTCACAAATGCGCTTCTGGAAGAACAGCCAAACATTCACATAGACACCCTCCTAAACCTTGTGGACAGCCTTCCCAGAATAGTTGAAGCTGTTATAGCTGCAAAGGGTGGGCCAACTCAATATTGAACCCTACGGACTAAGACTGGGATGTCATTAATGTTCATGTGCGTGTAAAGGCAGGTGTCCCAATACTTTTGACAATATAGTGCAGTGATGGCGAACCTTTTTGAGCCCGAGTGCCCAAACTGCAACCCAAAACCAACTTATTTCTTTCAAAGTGCCAACACTGCAATGAAACCTGAATATCGAGCTTTTGGTTTAGAAAAAACAACTCGTACAGTAGTGCAAAGTAATTAACAGTACAGGGATGACCAGAGACTGCGGACACAGTACAGGGATGACCAGAGACTGCAGACACAGTACAGGGATGACCAGAGACTGCAGACACAGTACAGGGATGACCAGAGACTGCGGACACAGTACAGGGATGACCAGAGACTGCGGACACAGTACAGGGATGACCAGAGACTGCGGACACAGTACAGGAGATGACCAGAGACTGCGGACATAGTACAGGAGATGACCAGAGATTGCGGACACGGTACAGGGATGACCAGAGACTGCAGACACAGTACAGGGATGACCAGAGACTGCAGACATAGTACAGGGGATGACCAGAGACTGCAGACACAGTACAGGGATGACCAGAGACTGCGGACACAGTACAGGGATGACCAGAGACTGCGGACACAGTACAGGGATGACCAGAGACTGCGGACACAGTACAGGGATGACCAGAGACTGCAGACACAGTACAGGAGATGACCAGAGACTGCGGACACAGTACAGGAGATGACCAGAGACTGCGGACACAGTACAGGGATGACCAGAGACTGCAGACACAGTACAGGAGATGACCAGAGACTGCGGACACAGTACAGGAGATGACCAGAGACTGCAGACACAGTACAGGAGATGACCAGAGACTGCGGACAGTACAGGGGATGACCAGAGACTGCGGACAGTACAGGGATGACCAGAGACTGCGGACACAGTACAGGGATGACCAGAGACTGCGGACAGTACAGGGATGACCAGAGACTGCGGACAGTACAGGAGATGACCAGAGACTGCGGAAAGCACAGGGATGACCAGAGACTGCGGACAGTACAGGAGATGACCAGAGACTGCGGAAAGCACAGGGATGACCAGAGACTGCGGACAGTACAGATGACTGCTGACCTTTGGGGAGGGAGGGGAAGCGGGTACCTGAATTTGACAGGTACCCGCTCTTACTTCCGCAGAGTTTTTTTTTTATCTTACCTGTTCCTTTATCCAGCCACGCGCTGTCTTCCCGGCTTCTGTAGTGTGGGCGCTCGTCGGACAGCCGGATGCCCAGTGCGCATGCGCGAGAAGCGCTGCGCTTTGTGATTGGTCCGGCGGCTTCTGGGATCTGTCATGTGTCCCAGGTACCGCCTTACCATTCACAAAGAGCACTGCTTCTTGCGCATGCGCACTTGGGACCCGGCTGTCACGCACACTACAGAAGCCGGGAAGACAGCGCGCCGCTGGATAGAGGGACAGGTACGGTCCCACTGCAGAGCTGAGCGGCCGGCCCGGTATTCTGACACGGCGGCGGTGGAAATACCGGACCGGCCGCTCTATATTCGCTCCATAAGACGCACTGACATTTTCCCCCCTTTTTTGGGGGGAAAAAAAGTGCGTCTTATGGAGCGAAAAATACGGTATTCTCCTGGCGTGCCCACAGATAAGGCTCGGCGTGCCACGGGTTCGCCATCACTGATATAGTGTATTTGCCATGCTTACATGTCTGACATTCACCAACCTCCTGCTATTATCTTATATTCATACACCAGAAATAAAATGAACACCCTTAGAATTATGTGGCATTAAGGAAGAAACTAAACAATGTAAATGTTTAGCAACATCTCAGGTGTGACTTGTTATATCAGGAAACAAAAATGTCCATAAAAATTTAATAAACAGAATAGTTTTGCAACAAAGGGAGTTTCATGTGCTTTAAGCAATGATCACCAGCGGAGTAATGGTATGTACCAGCTGAGTACAGGTCTTACTCATCTCAATTCATCACATTTTTAATAATACTGACATTAGAAAAAGGTAATGTGTTTACCTATACACAGAGTGACAGAGGAGGTACACTGATTGAAATGGATGCGCTATTGTTCTTTGGCTTCTGAATATTTTAACAAATCGTGAAACAAATCAGTGCTATCTGTGCTTTGTTAGAAAAAGGTAGCATCTTCCCTTTCATTTTAGGTGCTCTTGTGCAGGGGTTCTTAACAGGGGAGTATGTAACCCAAATGATGGGGGTATAAAACTGGATCTCTAATTACCTACAACAAATGTTGTTAGATTACATCATTATCTAAACCTTTGGACCAGTGTTGCCAATCTACCAAAGTGAAATTTACTGACACATCCAAGTTTTTACTGGCATTTCAAAAAGTCACAACATTACAGTTTTAAGTGCACATTTCAGTATTTCAGCTACAAACAGCTCACATATGCAGTTAGCAATGTGATTTAAAATAGATCTGAAGGCAAAAAAAACATTTTCAGCATAAAAGTGCGGGTTATTATAATCTATGAATTTATTGTTACCTATGTCCAACTGAAGAGATTTTCCTTTTAATTCTGGCCCCACACAAAGAGTGAGAAAGAGGGAGAGAGATTGTTCTGTTCCAGATTGCCCAGTACAGAGAAAGAGAGAGACTGCGCCACATTGTCCTTCAGAGAGAGAGAGACTGCGCCACATTGTCCTTCAGAGAGAGAGAGAGACTGCGCCACAATGTCCTTGAGAGAGAGAGAGACTGCGCCACATTGTCCTTCAGAGAGAGAGAGACTGCTCCACATTGTCCTTCAGAGAGAGAGACTGCTCCACATTGCCCTGCAGAGAGAGAGAGTCTGCTCCACATTGCCCTGGAGAGAGACTGCTCCGCATTGACCCACACAGAGAGTGAAAGAGACTGCTCCACATTGCCTCACACAGAGAGAGAGAGAAAGAGAGAGAGAGATTGCTCCACATTGCCTCGCACAGAGAGAGAGAGAGACTGTTCCACATTTCCCTGGAGAGAGAGAGACTGCTCCACATTGCCCTGGAAATAGAGAGAGAGACTACTCCACAATACCCCACACAGAGAGTGAGAGAGAGACTGCTCCACAATGCCCCACAGAGAGTGAGAGAGAGACTGCTCCACAATGCCCCACACACAGAGAGTGAGAGACTGCTTCACAATGCCCTGCAGAGAGTGAGAGAGAGACTGCTCCAAATTGCACTACACAGAGAGACTGCACTACAAAGCCAGAGAGAAAGCCTCAGCCTGCCCAGCAAATAGAATAAAGAGATCGCTCACTGCCCCCAGCCCCCTCTTTCTGTTCTCAGTCCATATCTGCCCACGCTTCAAGTCTGTTTACTCTGCTTTAGCTACTTACTGGTAAATAGTAAAGCACAGGGAACAGTCCTGACTCCTGCCCGCCCCAATCCAGCCCCACTCCAGCCGCCCGCCCCAATCCAGCCCCACTCCAGCCGCCCACCCCAATCCAGCCCCACTCCAGCCGCCCCCCCAATCCAGCCTTACTCCGACCGCCCGCCCCAATCCAGCCCCACTCCGGCCGCACCGCCCCAATCCAGCCCCACTCCGGCCGCACCGCCCCAATCCAGCCCCACTCCGGCTGCCCACCCCAATCCAGCCCCCCACTCCGGCCACCCGCCCCAATGCAGCCCTACTCCAGCTGCCCGCCCCAATCCAGCCGCTTGCATCTTCTCTTCAGACGTGTCGAATGTGGTAGGCTGAGGAAAGGGACGATTTACAGTAAAGTCCTAAATGCTGATTGGCTGAGAAGTGGTGGGGGGCAGAGTAACTGTCGCTGCTGTATCCCTGTAGAGTATTACATTAGTAAACAGTCCCGTCCTCCTATTCAGCTGGGCACTGTGTGCAGCGCAATTAGTTGCTACACAATGTGCACCATTTTTGCAAATATTTTATGTCCATAACAGACATTCATGAACAGCTAGATTCAGCAGAAGATAAATTTATACATTTCTAGGAAAGCTTCACTGAGTAACAAATATAAGAGAACAAAACTTAGAACTATGTGGCTCATTTCTAGTCTCATTTAACCCTTGTCACTGTTAGAGCTGTTTTTGCATTTTTTGCACATACATATCAATTTACAAAATGTAAAGTGAGCAAAGAGATGAAAAATCTAAATCAATATTTGGTGTGACTACCCTTTGGCTTCAAACCAGCATCATTTCTTCTATATACACTTACACCTTGCTTTTGAAGGAACTCGGAAGGCAGATTGTTCCAAACACATCTTGGAGAACTAACCACAGACCTTCAGTGGATGTAGACTGCCTCAAATCCTTCTGTCTCTTCATGTAATCCAATACAGACTCAATGATGTTGAGATCAGGGCTCTGTGGGGACTAAACCATCATTTCCAGGACTCTTTGATCTTATTTATGCTGAAGATAGTTCTTAAGGACATTAGCTGTCTCATATCCTTCTGTCTCTTTGTGTATTTCCAGACAGGTTCCATAATGCTGAGATCAGGGCTCTGTGGGGGCCAAACCATCACTTCCAGAATTCTTTGTTCTTTACGCTGAAGATAGTTCATGGACATTGGCTGTATGTTTGAGGTCGCTGTTCTGCTGCAGAATAAACTTGGGGCCAATAACACACCTCCCCGATATTGTGGCATGGTGAATAAGTATCTGTCTGTATTTCTCAGTATTGAGGACACTATTAATCAGGCAACTCTGAGGACCGTAGATGCAGTGGTCTGTCAAGGAAACCTAATGCAGCAGATCAAAGACACATCATGCTTACTTCCCTTCAACATCGGAAGATGTCCAACAGTGCCATCAGCACAGAACTGCTAGAAACCAGTAGTACCCAGGTACACCCATCTATAGTCCATAGAAGTCTGGCCAGAAGTGGTCTTCATGCCAAAACCCATACCTCCAATATGGAAACAAGGCTTAGTGACTCAACTATGCACAAAAACATAGGAACTGGGGTGCAGAAAAAGTTCAAATGCGTGTAAAGGCTGGCGTCCCAATACTTTTGGCAATATAGTGTATGTTGGACTGGATGGACTTGTGTTTTTTCGAACCTTATCTACTATGTAAGTATTTAATAATTCAATCATCGTATCAGATATGGAATTTTTTACCTAATGTTCAGTAAGTGAGTCATCCACAACTAATGCAAGATCTGGGTGTAATTAGCAGCTAAGTGATACACCAAGAAGGCAACACCCCTTCCTTTATGGAACAGTACATAACATTAAATATTTTTTGCTAGAAAAGTTTACTCTATAAAATGAATGTCAGGTTTAGTGAAAACCAAACTGGTTTTTCAAGGGATTCAACTCCCCCTTTACTAACAGGAAACAACTTGGGTATAAAAGCAACATGTTCAACGCCTTAAAAACAGAACTCACTATTCCTTTGAGTTAATTTTGAACTTACTTGCTAACGCCAGCCAACAGCAATGTCTTCAACTAAAGGTGGACCTCATGGACATCATGGACACCATGAACACCATGAACAGCATGGACATCATGATCAGAAGTGCCAGGACCGTAAGTAGCTTTTTATGCTTATAAAACCTTTCAGATAGTGGAAAAATTGACTGACTGACTGACCTTACTTTGTTTTGGTGTCTACAACAATATGTTAATATGAATCCACAAGTCTTATGTCACCAATACAAGAAGAATAACGTAATCCAAGGTGTTTTTAGTATTAGGGATAACTTGTTAGTATAAGGGCTAACGTATTAAGGACATATGAAGAAAAACAAAATTAACAACCTATATTATTAGACCTGTTTCATAGAAATTTAGCATTAACATGTTCAGCTATATTATGTAGGAATAAGTTTTAATCAATCACCACCAGCAAGTGCACTATTTTCCCATATATGTTTTTGTGCTGTTCAGGGACATGTGTCATTCCCACTCATTTGTA